TTTGCTGATTTCTTCCTTAAGAAATTTAATATCTTTGGTTCTTATTTTCATTTAATCCTTTTATTCTCTTCTGAACCATTCTAAAGTTGCTCCATCATCATTGTAGCAGGGCAGGTTTCTTGCAGAATTTTTGCACTACCTTCATGTTTCACATGGGATTTTTACTCAATTTCCTTTGCTGTGAGGTATCTGTCCATTGAGATAGCTCTTTTCTTTGAATTTTTATTAATTTCTTCTCCTTAGTTTTGTCTTTATGAATAAGTACCAAGTTTTACATGGTATTCTTATTAAAGCCATGTTTGTTCTGCTAATCCTTTCTATTTTGAATTCCCAGTGCTGTTGTGCCCTCCCCTAGCATTTGCTATCTATCTCCTGTCCTCTCAGACCACGAGGTCTATTACTCTTTTTTTTTTTTTTGGGCCAGGCAATGGGGTTAAGCGACTTGCCCAGGGTCACACAGCTAGTAAATGTTATGTGTCTGAGGCTGTATTTGAACTCAGGTCCTTCTGAATCCAGGGCCAGTGCTCAATCCACTGCGCCACCTAGCTGCCCCAAGGTCTATTGCTCTTGATGTATGTTGGTGACCAAGCAATCAATCAACCAGCACCTACTCTGTAAAAGTGATATTGCTGCAAAGAGACTTCCAGAGGCCATACTCCAATTCTTTACCTTTCCCAGTACCATTCTTCAAATTTATCCCTCTTTTTTGACTCAGATTTTCTTCAATAGCTAGGTTAGACCCTGGGAACTCTTCATGAAGGTAATGCACTTGGGATTCTCCTCTGTCCATCCTAGGAGTAGAGATCTCTGAGATACTGACACAGGCATAACTTTGAGAAGTCATTTGTAACCTTCCACTATTTTCCTTAATAATGTTTCACAAATGGGTTAAATCATAAATAGGTTGTCTTTGGCTATCACGTATCTTTGCTTGACAAAGAAATCATGTATTTTCTGGCTGAAGTGGTTTCTAAATTTTTTTTGGGCCTTCTCATTGCAGTGAATACTTTAATATCCATTAAACTTGATTCTAGATTAAGGATGATGAAATATACATTTTTTTTGTCCTTCCTGAGTAAAAGGATGATGAATTACAGATACAGAATGTTATATACATTGCCAATTGCTGCTACAATTTATTTGGCTTAACTATGTTCTCTTTGTTACAAAGGAGGGTCTTTGGAGGGATGGCTATTGGGAAGTGATGGTATAAAAAACCAAAAGAAAGATATCCCAATTCCTCAGGTGTACTCCTACATCCCTGAGGAGTAATGTAGCTGCCTCTGGGAATCTGACTTGCTGGTGTGAATGAAAAGTGAGATAAGGATCCCCCCCAGAATTCACACAGACTACATAAGTAATGTAAGAAACAAGAGATATAAACAAAAATTTATTTTAAAATAATAGTCCTGTATCACTGTGATCCCCAAATTAAATAGAGCAAAATTAAAACTCTGAAGACCCCTATTTACCTAGGGGTACATTGAGGGGGTTAGTCACATTGAGTGGCTTCAGTAAAGTTATGGTACACAGGACAGCAAAGACACAGGGTTAGTACAGACAGTGCTGGGTTCAGAGTCAGACAATCGCTTCAGACCATACCTCCCTGCATGACTCTAGCCAAGTCACTTTCCCTCTCTAGCCCTCAGTTTCCTTATGTTAAAAGTGGGTGAGGTAGAATAACCTCTAAGATACCTTCTTTTATTTTTATTTTTTTCCTAAGGTACCTTCTAGTTCTACATCTATGATCCTATGACTTCCACTTCCACGTATCATATCAAAGGTTAGTGGGGAAAGTTCCAGAAGCCTGAAGTCCTCATTGGTTAATAACTTAAAATTTGAGAGAAAAGAACTTGCCATTTATTAATTTATATTTAACTATATGTATATTTATTATATTTTTATATTTATACCTGGAAACATCTGCCCCATATACCCAGATATATTAGGAATAATGAATTGATTAACTGGCTCTTCTTCTAATTCACCTATTTTCCTTAATTACGGAAATCATTGGAAAGAAATAAAGAACCTAACAGAAAATCTGCCCTGGTTGTAAAATATTTTTTTGCCAGGACTATTCCTTTTTACTCATTATCAAATATTTTTTTTTACTTGGATGAATGAATGGACACGCATTATGCTAAGTGAAAGGAATACAAATATAAAAGCAAAGACAGTTCCTGCACTTAAGGAGCTTACATTCTATTGGGAGAAACAATACACATAGGGAAGAGGGGCACTTTGTCCTAGAAAGTTACACGCATGGGGAGTTGGGCTCAATGGTATAGTTGACTTAATCTTGGTGCATGGTTCTGGCTGTATCTTAAAGCTTTCCCACACTGAATATAATCATAATGGTTTTTCATAGTATGAATTCTAAAGAGGCCAATAGGATTTGGCCTAAAAGTACTAAAGGTTTTGTTTTTTTTAACATTCAGTACATTCATAACGTTGTCTCCAGAAGCTCTCATTAAATGGCACCTTCATAATTTGAGTTTTTCTTAAAAACATTAGGTATATACATTTCTATTCTTGAAGAAATTACAACACACATGCATAAGTTGAATCATGTGTATGTCTCAGAAACTGTTCTATTGAGTTGCCTAATTTATGAAGGATTCTTTATACAACTAATGCATGATGACACTCAACAATTCTGACTCTTTAACAAGGTAAGGTATGAAAGCTGACAGTTCTAAACAGGGTGATATGAAGCACCAGCAGAGTACTAGTGACACGGGAGTAAAGAAAATGGATTGTAGGAGGTAATAGAAATGAGAAAGGGGGCATGAATAGTTTGTGAATCTATTGATAGCTGTGCAGATATGATTGGTGAAGGATGGAGAAAGAAGAATTGGGCTGCTCTACAAGTAATAGTATTGATAGATTTTATTGTTATCTATTTGTATGAGTGTGCTTTATCAGCAAGGTCTTCATAATATAGCTATACCTTGGTAGAGAAAAATCTAGAATAAAGCTTCCCAGTCTTGTTCTGCAGCTGGTGCCTATGCCAGACTCCTTTATCTGTGCTGGATTGGCATGTGCCCTAGTCCATGGTTGTTGGAAACAAGAAGGAAGGCAGTGCAGCTTCCCTCCTAGAGCCCCAATTCCCACCCCCCATCCCTTGGTGATATCACACTGCTTCTTTCTCACTTTTCATAGACCCAGAAGAGCATGAACTCATAGTGAATAAGATATCATTAGAGGATATCACCAATGATACCATCAAAGGACAGACTACTGACAGAGCAAAGACATATGGGAATGGTTTCTCTCTCTCAAATGGGAGGAATCCCATTTGCTTTAAATAGATGAACCCTTCTTCCCTTTGGGAACACCTGGTTGCTTCCAGGTGAAGAGGTTGACTGCCACGCAGCCTAATGGCAACTGACTTTGGCCACTGGAACTCCTGTGCCCTGGTCACAGTGGCCAATGTAGCTGCAGCCTGAGAGAAACTTCCTAGCAGCCATTCAGGCATTGGGGCAGGGAAAACCATTGTAGCTGCCTGTTCAAGAATTCCCTGTTACAGGTACCTATGGAAACCAGGGGTGGTAGTCACAGAACAAGTACAACTAGGAACCAAAGAGGCTTCCAAAAATGTCAGAGGCTGTTGAGAAGGACCTGCTGGCCTTCTCTCTCTCTTCTCTGGCCCTCATTTTTTCTTTTGGTTTTTTTTTTCTACTTCAGTCCAGGATCCAAAGCTGGGTCCTAAGACCCAGGACCAATTCATTATTCCATTTCCATAATTTGCAGGTACAGGTAGAGATGCAGGATATGATTGAAAGGCAAGTCTATGCAGGAATGCTGAATTTTTCCCTAGCCTTTTCAATATGTTGAATAAACCAAGTGGCCAATGACTGCTGTTTACCTAAATCTTATGGATGTGGTGGTTTCTCACAAAATTACAAAACTGAGAGCAGAAAATTTTCCTGAGGTGGGTGGAGACAGTCATGGACATGATAGCCTAAATATCCCAAAGCAAAATTTTCTGTTTCATCCCCTAGAATAAATTCAGAATCCAGGAAACAAAGGGTTTTGGTTGCCTGGTTCTTTGAAATCAATGGGTCAAAGAGTCAAGAGAATAAGAAATATTCTTTTGCATATATGTCAAGAGACCTAGATGAGACCACTGGCCTGGGGGCTGGAGTACACTGCCACCTGGTGGAAAAATTATACACTCTCTTATTTCTCATCCTATCCACCCTGGCCATAGCATTTCCTTCACTGGTCCTTCTAACACCATGCCATGGGCAGTACACTCAGCTTTGGAACCACCTTGGCTATCCTGACTGGTGAATTGGACAGCACAAATACACATAGCTTACTATATCTAGTTCGTCCTAGAAACCAGACTACACTTCATATCCCACCTGACTAACCAACCCAGCCATTTCTTTGCCATCTATCTGGCTACCACAAGCATAATTTTCTCCCCACTACCCCATCACTTGCTCTGGGAACAATAATAAAATAAGTGCTACTATTGATTCTAGAAAGGATGTATCAATCGATTCTCCTATGGTTCTCCATACCATTTTTGTGACTTCTTCAATCAAAATACTTTGTCTTGGCCTTTATACCTTTATTTGCATTGACTCCTAAGTTCTTTGTATGCCACGTGTTTAGCACAGTGCATAGCACACTGCAAAGGCTTAATAACTGCTCTTTACTCATTCATTCATTGGTTAATAAAATGATAGCTGGTCTTTCCATGAGCTTATGTAAGGTAGGGCACAAGGTGATTTGGCCCTGTGCATGCACTCCTGTACCAAAAGTGTCACATAGGACACCTACCCATTACAGGTCTGAATATGAATATCAAACTTAAACCTTAGAGGTAACCCTTCTTAATTAATAGAATATAGAAAACACAGAGATCACATCTTAGCCCTCTGTTTTTCACCAGTTCTGACAGATTAGATTATGCTACACCTTCTTTTCTAGGGCTTAGCATTTTGGGGAGTTTTAAAGTCATGCGAAGTGAAAATTTGGCTTACCCTATCCCCAGACACAAGACAATTTCCATTTGTGCTCCAGTTCAGGACTGTAATAGCAGCAGCATGGGTGGTGGGGACTGTGTGCTGTTCCTTATCTTGCTTGTTAAATACTATGACTTCTCCAGCTTCCCAGCCAATAGCCAGGATCATTCGAGTTGGGTGCCAGCTCAGGGACATAGCTTGGAATGATCTCTCAATATGTGTTTCAGGCACATGCTCACCCTACACAGGAAAAAAAAAGCACATGCTTAAGAAATGATCAGCTGCTATACTACAAAAATCAATGGAATCAATGTCAATCTAAGATTACATGTGCCTAAAGTGCCTAATGATATTTTATTACATTAATGTTAAATGAAAATGCTCATTGACTTCAATATATCAATTCAAATTTAACATGTAACATTTCAGTTCAAAAAGACTTTGAGCACCTATATGTCCAGCTCTACGTTAGGTACTGTGGGAGATAGGAAAAAAAAAAGTCCCTTCCCTAAAGGGTTATTAAGGTCACTAGGGACATAAGACATATAGGTGAAGTAATTAAATAACAGCACAATGATATGTACACTTAAATGCTAACATAGACAATACAGCTACAACTGTTATAGATTATAGAAAGGAGATGCTACATGGCCAAAACATTACTGAAAAGAATCAGAATCTAAAGGATCTTAGTTCATCTAGGAAAAAAAAACTTCACAAATGCCATGTTTGGAATGACTGCCTTGGTCAGAAAAGGTTCATTAGCTGAACTCAAATCTTTAATAACACAAGTGTTTTTTAAAATATATGATTAAGTGCCCAAATAAACAATAGGCATTAAGTGCCATAGGATTAAAGGCTTGACTATTAAAAAACTGAGAAAAATTTTAAAAAAAACGGCTAGACAAATAGCGCAGTGATTTAGCAAATATAGTAAATGTTGATAAAATTAGTTATGAATAGCATGGTGCAACAGAGAGCTAGGCTCAGAGCTGGGAAGACCTAGGTTCGAGTTCTAATTCTGATACATATTGGCTATGTGACCTGAGGCAGGTCATTTAACCTCTTAGTGCCCCAGGCAACTAAAATCTATTCTTTTACACACATGCACCATAAGTATCCACTAGTTCCACTGAAGTATGTATTTGTGGGAAGTGTGCTCCAGACTTATGGAGAAAATGTTTTATTGCCATCTTTCCTCCTTAATTCTTTGTTTGTTTTTGTTTCCTCCCCTACCCCAGGCAATGGGGTTAAGTGACTAGCCCTACCCAGGTCACATAGTTAGTATTATGTGTCTGAGGCCTGATTTGAACTCAGGTCCTCCTGACTCCAGGGCCGGTGCACTATCCACTGCGCCACCAAACTGCCCCTTGTTAATTCTTTATTATCCAAGCCCATCACCACCTAACAATAATTTCATACTACAAAAAGGCAGAAGAACCAAGAAGAGGAAGTGCTATTCTGGACTTCATTTCCACCAAGAAAGAACTGGTTACTGAAGGAGAAGTTAAAGGAATCTTCATGACCATTCTTTATTAGAATTTGTGATAAAGAAGCAAGGGAAATCCGAGCAAAGTCTGACATGTACTCTAGATTTGAGGACAGCAGGTTTCAAAGAATTCAGGGAAAGATATGTAGGAGACTACAGATACAGAGGAAGCCTGCCCAAGAGGGATGGGAGGCCCTCAAAATTAAAATTTTGAAGACACAGTCCCTAGGGATCAATACATCTAGTCCAAACTCCCCATCATCTCCACCCCTGAACCCAACTCCTCAGTTTTTATGATAAAGGGAAGAATCATATAAAGAAATTCATATGGATGCACAAAGAGGTCACAGACAAAGGGATATTTAAAAGACACTTAAGGGTGGATTCAAGGACTAGTAAGAGAGGATTAAACACAAAAACATGAATAATGACAAAACAAGAAAATGATAAATGTTGGAGATGTGGGAAAACTAGAACACTAATGCATTGTTGGTGGAGTTGTGAAATGATCCAACCATTTTGGAGAGCAATTTGGAACTATGCCCAAAGGGCTATAAAAATGTGCATACCCTTTGACCCAGCAATAGCACTTCTAGGGCTATATCCCAAAGAGATCATACAAATGGGGAAAGGACCCACATGTACAAAAATATTCATAGCAGCTCTTTCTGTGGTGACAAAGAATTGGAAATTGAGAGGAGGCCCATCAACTAGGGAATGGCTGAACAAGTTGTGGTATATGAATGCGATGGAATACTATTGTGCTATAAGAAATGATGAACAGGCTGACTTCAGAAAAACCTGGAAAGACTTGTATGGTCTGATGCTGAGTGAAGTGAGCAGAACCAAGAGGACTCTGTACACAATGACAGCCATGTTGTGTGATGACTAATATTGAACTTAACCCTTCCCAGAAATACAAGGATCTAAGACATCTCCAAAGGCCTTGTGATAGAATAATGCTATCCACATCCAGAGAAAAAACTATAAAGTTTGAATGCAGATTGAAGCATACTATTTGCTATTTTTTTTCTTTTGTTGAGTTTTGTTTCCTCTTTCTGGTGGTTCCTCCTATTGGTTCGAATTCTTCCTTACAACATCACTAATGTGAGAATATGTTTAATAGGAATGTATATGTACAGCCCATATCAGATTGTGCACCTTCCTGGGGAGAGTGGTGGGGAGGAAGGGGGAGAAAAATTTTTAACTCAAAAGCATATGGAAGTGGTTGTTGATAAATCAAAATAAATCGATAAAAAAAAAATTTGAATAATGTCAGGAACAATAATGCTAAAGACAATAAAAGGGGAAGTTAATTGGTGCAGCGGATAGAGCACTGGGTCTGGAGTCAAGAAGATGAGTTCAAATTCAGCTTCAGACACTAAGTAGCGGTGTGAACCTGGGCTAGTCACATAACCCTCTTTGCCTCAGTTTCGTTATCTGTAAAATGAGCTGGAGAAGAAAATGGCAAACAACTATAGAATCTTTGCCAAGAAAAACCACAAAGAGGTGGACATGACGGAACAACACAACAAAAGACAATAAAAAGTTGTTTAGAGTTGTTTAATTTTAAGTCCGTATTGGAGAAAAGAAAAGGATCAAGGAAGAGACAGTACTGTTACTCAGGATAGATGGACTGATAATAAAGGACTATTAGTTCCTGCTTCACGTTGTCTTCTCTGCTAAGAACATTACTGGATGGCAAAGGACAGAACAAAAGTGGCTAATGGGGTTGAAATGAAAAATAAGTAGACAGATAGTAAGACACCATCTAGTTGCCTTCAATGAGTTCAAGGCCCAGATAAAATACACCTCTGAGTAACGAAAGAACCAGGAGATGTTTTATTACTAAAGAAACTATAAGGTTTCTTTAAGACGTGATAGAGAATGGCATAGGGACCACAGGCAAGGAAAAGGGCAAACATCTCAATTTTTTTTCAAGAAAATGATAATTGTAAACTATAGGCCAGCTAGCTTGACTTTCTTGGCAGAATTCTAGCTCATATCATTAAAGCAATTGTTAGTGAACATCTAGAAAAAGAAGCAGTGAACAGAAAGGTCTAGACAGCTTCATCAAAAGCAGATGATGCTTAGACGAATCTCATTTCCCTTATAGAAAAAATAACTGGGTTGGTAGATCAAGGGAATGTTATAACTATAGTTTATGTAGTTTAAACTATAGTTTGTAGAAATTGTAGTTTAACTAGGTTTCAGCAAAGTATCTAAAAAGTTTCTCATGATAATATTGTGGAAAAATTGATCAGATATATGAAAAACAACAGACCACTGAGATGGATTTTGAAATGGTTATGATGAGGTCTAGAAGCTTAGGGGTGCTGGGACCCCAAGATCATGACACGCAGGTCCTGTCTGAAAGAATCCAACCCAAGCCTTCTTTCAGCCAAAGACAAGGTTTATTAAAGATCAGACATATTAGCCACACTCTTAAGGAATCTGAGCACCTGTGAGCTATTAGCTAGAGTATAAGAATCTGAGCACCTTAATGGAGACAAGATGGACCTTATACACAGAAAGTCTGTGGGAGAGATCTCGGAGTGGCCAAGTAGTCTGCTGGGATTGTGAGGTAACAGAATGCTAGGGACCTGTACCATGGTGGCCAAGGAAGAATGGAACCTAGCTAGGATTAAGGGTGGGAAGTGGCCTGGGGCCATAGGGAGGTAAAACAATGGAGGGCTAGGCTAGGTTAGGTTAAGGGTAAAAGAGAATTGAGATTAGGCATAGCCACAATGAAAGGCCAGTTGATGGGATTATAGCCTCAGGGGAAATCCAGAGATTTGGCCAAGTGGCAAAGTCCAGGGTTTTTCCTTTCTGGGGTCCAGATCCCAACCCCATCAGTTACATGGCCAAACAATAGTTATTAATAGTTTCTCTGTCCCTAGAGTGCCGCAAAGATCTGTGCTCGGTCAGATGCATTTAACATTTTTATCAATGATTTGGTTTATAAAGGTGTAGGTAACATACTTATCCAGGTATGATAGAAAAAAGGTAAAACAATTCAAGAAAATGACACAAAGCTAGGAGGGATAGATAACATATTATGTAACATGTTAGGATACAAAAATATCTTGACAGGCTACACAGGTCAAATATTTTCAAGATGAGATTGAATACGGATTCACTGGGTTCAAAAGATGATCTTTGCAACTACAAGAGAAGAGGCAGGGCTAAAGAGCAGTTTATCTGAAAAAGATCTGGGAGATTTAGTACGCTGCAAGCTCATAGCACCCAAAAAAATGTATGTGATTTTAGGCTACATTAAGAGAGACTTGGTATTCTGGGTCAGAGGCGATATAGTTCCACAACACTCTGTCCAGGTCAGACCACATCTGGATTATTAACTATTCAATTCTGGGTAGCACATTTTAGAACAGACATTGATCAGCTGAAGAACAATCAGAGGAATGCAATCTGGATGGTGAATAGCCTTGAGAAGATGCCATAGGGATGACAATTGAAGGAACTGAAGATGGCTTCACCTAGAAAAAGGAAAATGTAAGCGCTGCCCTAAGTTTCTGCAGCACTGTCATATGGACGTGATGTGGGTACAAAGGGTGCCCTAGGAGCTTGAGCATTGGAAGAGACCACCGGGACATCTATTCCAACTTTTCTCTGGAAGAAATCCCCACGGCAACATGGGGGCCAACACAGGATCATCCAGCCTCTGCCTTAAGACTGCCAGGAAAGGGGGTGCCTACTGCCTCTTAATGCAGCCCGTTCCACGCCACCTCTTATCATTAGAAAGTTGTTCCTGACATCAAGCCTCAATAGGTCCTTTCATAACTTCCACCCAATGCTGCTGGTTCTGCCCTTTGGGGCCAAACAAAGCAAGACCTCCATATGAAAGCCTTTTGGACCCTCTAACCCAGCTCTTGCGGCCTTCCCCTCATCTTCTCTTCTCCAGGCTAAAGATTCCCAGCTTCTTCAACCAATCCCCAAGTGACATGGAGTCAAAGTCCTTCCCTGGCTTGGTTGTCTTCCTCTAGACACACTTCCAGCTGCTCCACTTTCTCAGACCATGGTATTGTAGTGAGTGAAAGATGGCATGACTGAGGAAACAAAAGTTTGAACTTTGGGGCATATCAATTTATTAAGCGATGAGTGCCAATTGTGTAACAAATCGGGCCCAGGCCTCTTCCTCAGCTTAGGGATGGACCTCAAATATAGGGAGAGGCCAATTTAGGGCACCCTTTGTACCTACATCAGAAGGTTGGTTCGGTTTAGTCCTAAAGAGCAGGACTATAAGCAATGGGGGAAAGTGGCAGAAAGACAAATTTAAATTCAGTTTAAAGAACCAACTACTAACTTGGAGCTGTCCAAAAGCAGAACAGGTTGGTTGCCTCTCCAGCTGTTAGGGTCCTCCTCAGGTCTTCAAAGCTGGATGACTATAGGGAGAATTTAAAGGTCCCTCCCAAATCAGAGATGTCACACTATTCTGCTCAGGCCTCATTTTCCAGACTTCAGGGTATGGAATCTATGGTATTCTAATTCAATAAACATTTGTTAACTACCAACCAAGTATCAGGAATTGTGCTAAGTGCTGGGGATATAAATAAGAAAAGAAAAATTGTCTTCATCCCTCTGGGAGGGACAATACATAAAAGAAAACTAAAAAGGGTGGGGTGGGAGGTAGGAAACCAAGCAGAGGTATGGATGGAAAGTATAGGAGTCACTGGTAAAATTCTGAGCCCTCTCTAAAAAAGGATCTGGATCTGGGAGGGGAAGAGGAAAGACTGCTCAAATTGTTAAGTGGGAAAAGCCAACAATTTGCATGTCAATCTGCATGGTGATGAGATTTCAGGCAATCAGCTTATTCTGGGTGAAGGCTGGAGTGGAAGTAAATTCTCCCACACCTTGCCCTACATCCCAGACTCCTTTGCCATTCACAGACATCTAGTGCTCAAGTCTGGATCATCCTCAGCATGTAGACTCCTGCTCACTGGTCCCACTACAGATTCATTTTAACCTGTTTGAAAAAGGCTCTTACTATTGCAAGAAAGGCCTTTAACTGATTGGCTTATTTTCTTCCCTACTCCCCTCAGTGGATGTTCTAAACCTTATCTTCCTCCAACCTCCAAGGCCTCCATTGCTCTCAAGAGTTTATCCAGCAAGCAGTCCTTCATTTTCACAACTCAAAACCTCTCTACAACTTCACCCATTTTCATTTCCCCCCCTTTTACTGTGGTCTCTGAGAAAGAGGTAGCCTTTCTCCTTGCCAGGGAAAACTCCTCTACTTATGCCCTCAATCCCATCACCAACCATTTTCCTCCAGTAACTTATCAATCATCTCCTCTATTTCTTTTATCACAGCCACTACTTTCCCACAGCCTACAAAGACAATCAGGTCTACTTCATCCTTTAAAAACCTCTGCCGTAGCCTCAGGTCATCATTAACTTTTCTACTCTCAGATACAAGTAGTGTCCCTTAGAGCTCCGTCCTAGGCCCTTTTCTCTCCACCCAATCTTTCTTAATGATCAGCTTTGTTCTCAAAGGTTCGATTATCATTCTATGCAAGTGACTCCCAAATCCACATAGCCAGCCCTATCTAATATTTCTCTAGAACTTTATACTCACATCACCAAGTGCCTGTCAGACATCTCCAGGATGACTCATAAGCATCTTAAACTCTACTTGTCTAAAGTAGAACTCATTATTCCCACCTCAACTTATCCCTTCTCCAAACTTCTATGTTTTTATTGAACCACTGTCTTCCCTGTCCCTCACGTTTATAATCTTAAGAGTCACTCTTAAAACTTGAACAGAAACTCAATTAAATACGTATTTGCTAAGTATCAACTACGTATCAGGTCCTATTTGCTGGGCACTTGAAATGCAAAGATAAAATCAAAACCATCCCTGCTCTCAAGGAGCCTCCCATGGAAGGAGACATTGTCTTATGAATACAGATAAGTAAATATAAAATATCTAAGTAAACACTTTCTTCTCCATCATACTGTTGAAGTTTAGTGGTGCTGGGACCCCAAATTCACAACACAAGGTCCCGTCTGAATGAATTCAACCCAAGCCTTCTTTCAGCCAAGGACAAGTTTTATTGGAGATCCTCCATACTGGCCAGACTCTTAAGGAATCTGAACATTGGATAGTTTCTTAAGGAACCTGAGCACCTTAATGGAGACAAGACAGACTTTATATAGAGAAAGACTGGCAGGAATCCAGGACTGGATTTGGGGTGAGAGGAGGAGTCTAAGGAGGCTCTGGATGGGAGTGGCCAGTAAACTGGGGTAAACAGAAAGCCAGGGACCTGGACCATATGACCAAGAGAGAATGGAGTCTAGATAGGATTAAGGGTGGGAAGTGGCCAGGGGCAATGGGGAAGTAACACAAGGGAACAGGGAGTTTGGGCCTAGCCACAAAGAAAGGCTGGTATTACAGCCTCAGGCAAACGCCAGGGATTTGGGGAAAGTCCAGGGATTTTCCTTTTTGGGGGTCCAGATCCCAAAGACATGGCCTTTTACTTTTAGGGGTTCACACTCCATCCCCAGCAATACCATTTTGAGTCAGTTGTGAAGTCCAATCAATTCCACCTCTCCCAAATTTCTCACATTTATCCTTTCAGGTCCACTCATGTGCCTACCACCTTAGTTCAGGCCCTCAATCACCTTCAAAGACATTATCATAATAGCCTACCAATTCATCTCTAATTCCAGTTTTTCCCCTCTACCATACAGCAGCCGAAAGAATCTTTCCAAGGCTCTGTTGTGACCCTGTCACTCCTGTACTGAAAGAGTCAAAGAACACTAATAAAGAGAAGAAAGAATAATTTTATTGTGGGAAGAAAAAACTTTAAGGAAGACTGATTAATTTTACAAAAAGTTAGTCCCAGTTTTACAGACCTGGAGGTCATGTTGTTATACATGCTACCCTCCAGTTTTATGAGAAAGATGAAAAAAAGTAAAACTGCATATTAATATCAGGGATTTATTCAAGAATGCAAGTCTTAGAATACATCCTGCAATTAGTAAAAATTCAGCCCAATGGCATTCTATCTAACTGATAGGACAATCCATTAACTGACTCCCCTGGCTCATCAAAAAAGTAGTTAGTATCTTATGTTTAGCAAGACAGGAACACTGTTATACACACACACACACACACACACACACACACACACATACACACATACTATATATATATATATACATATATATATATATATATATATACACACACACATATATATTCACATATGTGTGTATTTAAAAGTTTGCCATCAGAAAGTGTTGAAACATCCCCAAATAGTGCTGGATAACTGAAGAATTATCCTATTATATTATAGATACAGTTTAGCATTTAATTTATCTCTAATAGATTCAAATAGTTTAACTTTTTTTTCCCTGATATGTTTTAAATTTCTTAATAACAAAATCAATGTCTTAACTTCTTTGTATTCCGAGCTTCATAAATATTTGTTGAATGAATATCTGTTGAATGAAAAAGATGCTTGGGTAAAAATGGAAATTTAAGTCACCTGTTCTAGGTATACATCTACACTTCCTCCAGAAGTCGTGCTGACAGAAGCAACTGCCAACAATGGATGAAGAGGATGCCATGTCATATGGGAAGGAGACCCAACTGAGTCAGGGGCCTCTATCCGGTGATCAAAGTAGAGTGCCATGGTAAATTATCAACCTAGTCAGTACCTACACCTGCAGAGGAAAAAATTCAAGCATATCATTAAAAACAAACAACACAGATTGTGTACAGAATTAGAAATGTCTTTTATAAAAAGGAAATATTGCTAACATACTTTAGTAAAAGCATTCAGAAACTCAAATCATCACATCAGTAGTGTCTTTACTACAAATAAACAGAGGTGACACAGATAATAAATAATCCTTGCTAATTTTGGTTAAATATGCAACAAGGAAAATTTGCACTTATGTAGCTTTCATTTATGAATATTTACAAAATCAAGCAGCTGCACAGATGTGAATCTGAACCCAAACTAGATGTCTTTGTTTCTTTCAAGGCAACCTAAGATTATTTCCTACATCTTCTATTCTCAGGACCACAAAGTAGAAAGAAGGCATAACCTTTACAAAACAGAATGATCTAGGAAATCTGGTCAATTTCTTTTTATTCAGAGGGAAGTTAAACTCAGAAAAATAAAATCACTGAATGGCAGAGCTAGCTCAAACCATGGATTTTACAGATGAGGAAATTAACATCCAGAGAAGTAAGGCAATTACACCAAGGTCACAAATTTATTGTGGAGTTTGAATAGGCATCAGAGGTTTTTTCTCCACCTAGAAAACACTGGACCAAGGAAGGAAGAAAACAGGATGGGGTGGGGTTTAAAGTCTTTTATCCTCTTAAATCACCTATGTTCATTTGATTATCTCTTAAAATTTTGCTCTGAAATGTTACAGACATTTAGTCACAGCTCAATGTTTCCAAATTGTCAAGAACTAACTTATTTCTGATGTAGTTGATTAAGATTCTGAATGTTGAATTTGGGCAGAATCTTTTAAATTGAGTCCTTTCGGAAGGTGAACAAAGGGAGAATATTTGGCTTTGATGGAATTGGAGAAGTTTGGTTGAGCAGATCACAATTGTCTGTACCTTAGTTATTCCTCTACCTCTCACAGGGAGCTGGCGGGAGGTTCCTGGTGGAGAAAATCTTTTTTAAGCTATGGAGACCATAGAAAGCACTACTGGGGGGGGCGGGGAGAGGGAGGAAGTAACTGAGCTATTTTCTGGAACATTAGCAACTGCAAAAGAAGAAAAAAATGGAATTTCAAATCTAAAACTGGCTATGGAGATCAAATTAAAATCACTAGAAGGAAATCGTAAATATACATAACATATAAACTTGAAAAATACAAAATTTCCTCACATGGTGATTTAATCAGTGATTTCTGTGATGATTTAAAGAGTAGCCAAAAAAATATATATTTTCTGGTACTGAACAGGGCACTTTGCAGGCAAAGGTGGTTAGTGAAATAACACATGCAAAAAAGGGGCATAGATAAGATTGAAGCCATAAGGAATTCATAAGATATAGTGTTGCTGGATCTTCAGTATTTAACAAATCAAGTTTAGCACTAATTATTGTTGTTGATTTTTACAGCATATGTGAATCTAAAAAATACAAGCAGTTAAATAAAATGTATGCAAGTGTAAAATTAATGCAAGCCCAAGGTTTAAATAAAAATTTTTAATGTGTCCTTGACCTGCTATAGCCACTGTTTCAAATTCTATATTATTGGGGCAGCTAGGTGGTGCAGTGGATAGAGCACCAGCCTTGGAGTCAGGAGGACCTGAGTTCAAATTCGGCCACTTACTAGCTGTGTGACCTTGGGCAAGTCACTTAATCCCACTGCCTAGCCCCCCCCAAAAAAATCAATCAAATTCTAGATTATTAAAATTATCACTTAAAACTTTCATTCTTTATGAGAACTATTTATTTGATTCGATTCATATACATTGAGATTCACTTTATTTACTAATCTTGTATCTTGAGTTACTAGTCAACATATGTGGTATAATTGTGGAATCATTTCTTGTTGTTCATTTTGATCAAATTTGTTCATTTGATCAAAAAAATTATGGTAGGCATTATTTCAACTATTAATTTCTTGTGAATCTTTTGATTCGAAATAAAATTTTTTGTGCACTGTTAGAAACTGTATGTTGACTGTACATGTATAGCCTATATCACATTGTTTGCCATCTTGGTGAGGGGGAAGGAAGGAGGGAAGGGAGGGAGAGAGAAAAAAATTTGGAACTCAAAATGTTGAAAACTATCTTTACATATAATTGGAAAAAATAAAATACTATTAAGTAGAATCTCTATGGGTTCCACACACCTTTGTAAAATTTACATTAGTATATGTTTTCAACTGTGTCCAACGGTAAAAAAAAGTGGCTCAAACAAACCATGGAATCATAGCTTTATAACTCCAAAGGGAACTCAGAGGTAGTCTTATCCATACCCTACCTTTGCAGACAAGAAAACTGAGGCTAAGAGAGATCAAGTGACTTGTCCAGAACTCTACTGTCACATAAGGATTACTGTTATCTGGTCAGATAAAAACCAACAAACTTTTTTCGGTCCCTGGAAATTGACAGGTGACCAAAGAAAACCAACTTTTTGCCACAACCTGTAGCTCTAGCTATAGTATTACTAATTAGTGGGGAAACTGACCTGGAAGAAAAACAGCTAAGAAAGTACACCCTTGACCTTCTGTGAAGAACTATTGGGCAAGTAATCTTTTTTTGCCTGAGGCTACAAATTTTAGTTACAATCAACTCTCAGTCACCTTAAGGGAAATGGTAGAGCAGGTCTCCAAACAGTGGTGCATTCATGAACCATTTACTCTATACAGTAATTAATCCCACTGCATGCCTTTCATACATCCCTTAAATTAGGTCACAGGAGTTGGCTGGGAAACCAGTTGGGCATAGGGAAGCTAATTCCAAAGGGTGCTGAAGAGAAGGGAAGTTGGTTCCAGGGCTCAAGTTGGAAAAAGAGAACATTAGTTCTTGAATGGTTAGCTCTTGAGACAGAAATATCAGGGAGGTCCCTGTACTAGATTAACAGCCAATACTCCACTTTCACCATGGCAGGTGTGGAAGAGTCACAAGAGCCATAGAGACAGTTAAAGCTACATGACTGAGCAACTACCTGTTAATTTTGAATTATGTGAATTAGGGGGAGAAGAGCATGAGGAGGTCAGGACTGTGTCTTACCCAAATCAAAATCTATACTGCTCTAAATTTCATAGATAATTTATATATTCCATACACATACATAGTTATTTGCAGGTTATCTCCCCCATTAGAATATGAGCTCTGAGAACAGAGAGATTATTGTTTTTGACTTTCTATTGATCCCTAGCATCTAAGAGTGTAAGTGGATAGAGTGTTGTTGGGCCAGGAGTCAGGAAGGCCTGAGGTCAAATATGTCCTCAGACACTTACTAGTTGTATGACCCTAGGTAAATCAATTTACCTCTGTTTGTCTCAGTTTCCTCAACTGTAAAATGGGGATAATAATAGCACCTACCTCCTAGGACTTCTTGTGAGGATCAAGTGAGATAGCAAGCGCTTAGCAAAGTGTCTGGCATACAGCAGGTGCTATATTAATGCTTATTCCCTTCCCCAAGCCTTAGTCCTGAATGCCATATCTCCAATTTACTTTGATTTTTGAGACTTGACCACTGAATTATTTTATGAGTTTCCTTTGGAAAAAAAAAATGTTACACGCAAACATGACCTTCTCATACTAAGTAGATAAATACATGAAGAGAAAATAATAAAGGACACCTAGGATGTTTAAAGTTTGTAAGTTACCAAAATAAAGACTTTGGCAACATATTAGAAAGTAAGAGTTATTCAGATGAACTTAAAAATTAACTTGGTTCAGTAACTAGTTCACTTATTTTCAGCTTTGAGAAATCAAGAAAAAATACACAAAACAGAAACATTCATGTGACTCCCTTTTCTTTATCAGTCCTTCCACACTCTTTTTGAGTACCCAGTATTTTCAGGCATTTCTATTCTACCTTGTTAAAACCAGTTTTCAAAAAAGGTAAGATAAACTCATTTCTGTCAGGGTATAAATACCATATGATGCTTGAGGTATTGCCTTCCTGGTCATTATCTGTGATAGATACTATGGAATGAATCTTTAATGGTGGATTTTTAAGCACTAAGAGATTGGATGGGTAAGTATTTTGGAAGATAGGGAAGTTCTCCCAAGTCCTGAAATCATACCATGTGGGCAGTGGCCTATTATGTCTAGGCTTGCCACTCTTTAGGCAATCACAATTCAAGAAAGTTTGATCACATTGGGAAACTGTAGTTTACTAGTAATTTGTTAAAACTGGATTCAGTGAAGTAGGATTGTATAATTTTAGTTATAATGTTTTGTTTTATCATTTAAATTTTTTAAAAGACCCGTTATTTCATTGGTATAAGAATTCTCTTCATGAATACATACAACAATGTATCCATACCTTAGCCAAGTGCTAAGAGGCCAGCTGGTGGTGAAGTGGATTAGAGCATTGGATCTGGAGTCAGGAAGACATCCTTAGACACTTACTAGCTGTGTGACCCTGGGCAAGTCACTTAACCTGCCTGCCTCAGTTTTTTCAACTGTAAAATAGGCATAATAATACTACCTATTTCCCAGGTTTGTTATGAGGATCAAATGAGATTGTAAAGTGCTTGGCACATAGTAAGTACTACATAAATATTAACTATTACTATTAACCTCAATTTTTCAACTGCAAAATGGAGATAATAATAGCATCCACTTCTCAGGGTTGTTGTGAGAAATCAATGAGATATTATTTGTAAAAAGCATTCAGCCCAGAACCTGGCATATAGTGGGTACAATGTAACTGCTTAGTCCTGTCTATTCCCTGCTATGGCCAAAAAATTAATTGCCTAGTGGCCAGAATTCTGGTAGGGTCCCTCTCTGAACCTATCTTAGCTGGTCCTTCCAGATAACACACATATTGCCATTTGTCTGTTGGACCGATACTCAACCTTCTACTTTAATAGTGTTTGCTGGTGAGTATGTTTTGGTGCCATTGTCTTTGGGAACCTAGGGTACCTTCATACCATACATTCAAGTGGGCCTTGAAAAATGATACTTATATGTAAAATGGTTTTTTCCGTCAACTCTTTGCCTGGTACATAACATTAAAGGCTGAGGTGAACTGAATGTAAAATTTTTTCTTCCGGAGTCCACACCAAATAGAACCACAGATTAACTGAAAAATGCCAATATGCAGAAGTTACAAGGGTTTTTTTTATTTTGTTTTGTTAAATCTATGATGAGTTTCTCTGAACTTGTCCATCACTGGACCCTACTGGAAGCCCTTCCAGACTGGTAGGGACCTGCCAGAGGTTAACATTTTGTGGCACAGCTATTAAGAAGTAGGGGTTACTTCCATACCAAGATACAGCATCAGTGAAGTGCTTTAGTGAAGAATTATCTTTAGAATAAAATTAATTATATGCTGTCTATCTTTGCCCCTTCTCTGGGCCTTAGTTTAACTGCTATGGAAAGGGGTCGGGGGTAGGGATGAGACTAGTGGTCTTTATAGTCCCTAGTAGTTGAAACTGCATAAGCCCTAGTGGAAAAACCACCAGAAAACCTTGGGCAGATAAAAATCTCTCTGAGCTTCAGTTTTCCCCAATTGTTAAAAAATGAACTTAGCTGATTTCTCAAATCCCAGTCCAGCTTCCCCATTCAATGATATCACTTGCGAGCTAAGGTAAATTTTGAGAGTGCCTGTCTGTGCCTGGAGCTTAACAATAGTAATAACAACAACAACTGACCTTCATACAATAATACTTAGTTTGCAAACCACTTTACATACATTATTTGAGATCCAAAACCACCCAATGAGGTAGGCATTACAAGCATTTATTTTCATCCACCTTTTAAGGCTCATAGGGGAATGGAAAACATTGAGGTGGTCACTCAGCTTGTAAATTTAGGAGGCAGGATTTACTGTCTTCCTGGTTGTAGGTGTATGTACCACAACAATAATAATGGCTACCATTTAATAGCACTTTAATAATGATGATGATAATGGCTAGCATTTATATAGCTCCTACTATGTGCCTGGTACTGAGCCAAACCCTCTACAAATATCCCATTTGATCCTCACAACAACTCTGGAAGTTAGGAGATATTGTTATCCCCATTTTACCGGTGAGGAAATTGAGGAAGACAAAGGTTAAGTGACTTGCCCAGGGTCACACCGATAATAAGTGTTCGAGGTCACATATAAACTCAGGTCTTCCTTATTCGAAGGCCCAGTGCTCTATCCACTGTACCCTACCCAGCCCTGGGAAAGATGCCTCACTTGTAAGAGGTGCAGCTTGTTTCTTCATCTGCAAAATGGGACCAATAAACAGCGGTGCCGGGAGGAAGCCTACATCAGGGTGAGTAGTAGTGTAGTTATCGTTACCGCAGGAGTGTGCATCCCCCGAGTCCTAGGTGCCAGCCTGCAGGGTCTCTGACAACCTGCGGTTCCATGGAAGTTGATTAACATTTGGAAGACAAAATAGGAAAGTTATGAAAGTGGGAGTGGGGGGCGGAGGGGAAGGAGCAAAACGCTGCTCCCCAAGGGGCTGCCTGGCTACCTGCGGGAGCGCAGCGGCGCTTCGGGCATCAATCAATCCCGCGGAGGCCGGAGCAGAGGACCGCCGGGGAGAGCTTCAAGGCCGCGCCAGGGCCCGCCGAGGGTCCGCGCCAGGCTAGGGCAGCGGGCGGCCGCTCCGGGAGGGCTGGGAGAGGCGATGGGGGCCCCGGGGCCCGCGGAGCCCCTAGAGGCCGCTGGGAGGGGAGGGGAAGGCAAAAGGAGGCGGGCGGCGCGGGCTCCCAGGACCTACGGCTCCGGCTCCGGCTGCAGCCTGGCCCCGCTCCTCAGCTTCCGGCCTCTGCAGCCCCCTCCCCAGGGCGGGGGCGCAATCCCGCCCCGGACCCCCTGCCCGGCTGGTGAGGAGCGCGCCAGGGGCAGCGCCTGGGACTGGGCGGGGTACAGAGGAATTGAGGTGGGGTGCGCTCGGCTCGGGCTCCCCTCCGGTGTGTCTGGCCGCCCTCAACTGAAAGGCGATGCTGGCCGTTACCCCTGACAACGGCTGGGGGCGGAGAGCGGAAACAGCCGAAGGGAGAGGATGTGGACGCGAAGGAACACGAAGCCTCGACGGAAAATGCCGGGAAGTACCGAAACCGATCGGCTTCCTTCGCCCAGCCGCGGCGAGGTGATGGGAGGGGCGGGTCATAGTATTGGAAGTGGCAGGGGATGCCTCAGGTAGGATAATTCGTTGCATTTAGAGGTGGAAGGGCAGGCTGGGGCTGGAGGGGTGCAGGAAGGAGGAGGATGAAAGGGCAGGATAGTTACAGCCTAAGGAAAGAAGGAAGGGAGCAGAAGGAAAGAAGGGAGGGAGGAGAAAGAAGGAAGCAAAGAAGGAAAATAAATGAAGAAAAAGAAAGGAAGGAGGGAAGGAGCATTTATTAGAAGCCTATTATGTGTTACCGTTCCAAGAGTTTTAAAATATCATCTCACTTAATCCTCACAACAACTCTGGGAAGTAGGTGCTATTAATAGCCTGATTTTTACAGTTGAGGCCTATGAATAGCCTCATAGTATCCGAGGTTGGATTCGAATTCTTTTCTTCCTGACTCCAGGCCCAGTGCTCCATCCATTGCGCCACCTATCGGCCTGTGGTCTAATTACAGCACTGGGCAATCCCCTCACCTGATCCATAATTCACAGGTCGGCCTCATAGGTAAGAAGCAGCGGGCTTATTAGGCAGAGTGGCGGTTCCTGAGTCTGGAACACTTGGGTTCAAATCCAGTCGCTGTGTGACCCTCTGCGAGTCATTTATCTTCTCAGTGCTGTAGGCGGTTCTTTCAGACTATAAGTTAATGAACTATTGCTGATCTGCCTTGGCAGATGGAATTTTCTTTTGCAGTTTCCCTCTCCCATCAAATCAGAAGTATAGGCCCCCCCCAAAAAAAAAACCAGGATGGGTTAGGGATGCGCTCCTCATAGAATTCTAGATTTAGAACTGGGAGGGACCTGAGAGAGGAAACAGAGCAAATAGGATTGGAAGTCATGCAGGTAAAAAGTAGCAAAGTCATATTTCAAACTGACTCAAAGGCTAGTGTGCAGGACCATGACTTCACCACTTCCTGACCTCTGAGGTTACTTAGTTGGCTCAGTCCTCTAGTATCAGAGGGAGTGATTTATTAACATACTTGAATGAAACTGAAATGATACCTCCAACGACCAAGTTTCATAATCAACATGCTGAGATTGTTTTAATACCGTCATAGATATCATTATGGCATTTATTACAAATATTCACCCCCAGGTTTCCAATCTTATAGCTCTCTTTTTTTTCTAGCCAAACTCCTCAGGAAAATCCTCTAAAGGAGATACCTCAACTTCCTTTTTTCTTAACCCCCTGGAAACTGGCTTCATCCAACTGAAACTGCTCTCACGGATTATCAACTGTTCCTTCTAATTGCCAAATCTAGTAGGCTTTTCTCAGTCCTTACCCTAGACCTCCCTGCTGCATTTGACACCGTACCACCTGCTCCTCCTGGATACTTTTAGGACACTTTTGTTTCTCCTACTACTTGTCTACCTGTTCCTTCTCAATCTCTTTTACTGAATCATCATCTATGGTATACCCACTAAGTGGGAGTGTCTCCTAAAGCTCTATCCTGGGCCCTTTTTTCTCTCTGTGCATTCTCTCTTGGTGACCCGATAGATGTCCCTATGCATATTCCTAGATCTATATGTCCTTCCCTAGTCTCTGTCCTGAGCTCTGGTTCTGAATCACCAATTGCCTATTTCATATTTCAGACAGGAAGTTCTATAGTCATCTCAAACTCAACATGTCCAAAACTAACTCATCTCTAGCAAAATTCACCTTTCCTCCAAATTTACCTATTCCTGTCAAGGATACCACCTGTCCTAATGATTTAAGTATGCAACCTCAATATCATTCTTGACCCCTCCCTTATTCCACATATACAAGCAATTGCTAAATCTTGTTTGTATTTCCACATCATTTCTCAAATACATCCTCTCCTCACCACTCACACAGCCATCACCCTTATTCAGGACTTCATCACCTCTTAGCTGGACTATTAAAATGACTTTCTAACTGGTTTCCTTGCCTCAAGTCTCTCTCTTCATAGCTGCCAAAGCAATTTTCCTAAAATATAGGTCTGATCCTGTTACTCTTCTAATCAACAAACTAACAAACTCTAGTGGCACTCTATTATCTGCTTCTGAGATCACTTTTTTTTTAAACTTAGAGACCACATTAGTTCAGGATCTCACCGTCTCTTGGTCTCTTGGACTATTGCAATAGATTTCCTGGCCTCCATTGTCCCTACAGCTGCCAAAGAGATTTTCCTTTTCTTTTAATTTAAAAAGAAATTTATTTTCAGTTGCGAATACTCTCTCTCTCTCCCCCTTTTCTCCTCCCACTGAGAAGATGGTAAATATGATAACCATTATACATATGAAGTCATGCAAAACATTTCCACATTAGCTGTATGGTAAAAACAGAAGAAAGATGGTGGGGGGGGATAAAGAGAAAAAATGTTTCAATCCGCATTCAGAGCTCATCAATTTTCTATCCAGACATGGATAGCAATTTTCATTATGAGTCCTTTGGAATTGCAATGGATCATTGTACTGATCAGAGCTAAGACTTTCACTATTGATATTGTTACAATATTGATGTTACTGCGTACTTTGTTCTCCTTCATTTTACATCAATTCATACAGGCTTTCCCAGGTTTTCCTTAAACCATCCCCTTCATCATTTCTTATAGCACAATCGTATTCAATCACATTAATATACCATAACTTGTACAACCATTCCCCAATTGATGTATATCCCCTTAGTTTCTGATTCTTTGCCTCCACGAAAAGAGTTGACATAATATTTATGTACATGTAGATCCTTTTTCTTTGATCACTTTGGGATGTAGACCAAGTAGAGGTATTTGTGGGTCCAAGGGTATATCCAGTTTTATAGCCCTTTGATATAATTCCAAACTGTTCTCCAGAATGTTTGGATTAGTTCACAGCTCCACCAACAGTGCCATTGGTGTACCTATTTTCCCATATCTCCAGCATTTGTCATTTTTCTTTTCTGTCATCTTAGCCAATTTGATAAGTATGAGGTGGTATCTCAGAGTTGTTTTCGTTTGCATTTCTCTAATCAATAGTGATTTAGAACATTTTTTCATGACTATAGATAGCCTTAATTTCTTCATCTAAAAATGCCTGTTCATATCATTTGACCATTTATCAGTTGGGGAATGACTGGTATTCTTATAAATTTGACTCAATTCCCTACATATTTGAGAAATGAGATCTTTATCAGAAAACTTGCTGAAGGGCAGAGCCAATACAGCAGAGTAAAGACAGCAACCCAGCTAAATTCTCCCAACATTCCCCTCTAGGGGCAGCTAGGAGGCGCAGTGGATAGAGCACCGGCCCTGGATTCAGGAGGACCTGAGTTCAAGTGTGGCCTCAGACACATGACACTTACTAGCTGTGTGACCCTGGGCAAGTCACTTAACCCCATTGCCTAGCCAAAAAAAAAAAAACCCAACAACATTCCCCTCTAAAGAACTTTAAAATAACATGTCAAATCAAATTCTGGAGCAGCATAGCCAACAAAATGGAGGGGTAAGAAAGAGGGATGCACTGAGTGAAGGGGGAAAGGAGAGGAAGAATGAAGGAAATTATCTCACATAAAAGAAAAGGTCAAGGAAGAAGAATCTTAGCTCATTGGAATTGGTTCCTACAGGGAAAGAAAAAAATATACATCCACATTCATTTGGGTATAGAAATTTATCTTACCAAATAGGGAAGCAGGAAAGGAAGAAGATAAGAGAATAGGGGAAGGGATGAAAAAAGGGAGGACGGATTAAAGGAGAAAGTGATCAGAAGCAAAATAGACTTTTGAGGAGGGACAGTGTAAGAAAGAGAGATAAAGATAAACAGAAGAAAATAGGATGGAGGGAAATACATAGTAATCATAACTGTGAATGTGAATGGAATGAACTCATAAAACAGAAGGGGATAGCAGAATGGATTAGAATCCAGAATTCAATAATATGTTGTTTACAAGAGACACACTTGAAACAGAAAGACACACAGAGAGTTAAAATAAGGAGATGGGGCAGAATCTGTTGTGCTTCAGCTGAAGTAAAAAAAGGCAGAAGTAACAATCATGATCTCAGACAAAGCAAAAGCAAAAATAAACCTAATTAAAAGGAACAATCAGGGAAACTAGTTTGCTAAAAGGTACCAGGAACAGTGAAGTAATATCAAAATTTTTACGACAAATTTCTGTGATTAAGGCCTCATTTCTCAAATATATAGGGTATTGAGTCAAATTTATAAATATACCAGTCATTCCCCAATTGGTAAATGGTCAAAGGATATGAACAGGCAGTTTTCAGAAGAAATCAAATTTGTCTATAGTCATATGAAAAAATGTTCTAGGGGCAGGTATTGGCGCAGTGGATAGTGTACCGGCCCTGGAGTCAAAAGACCTGAGTTCAAATCCAGCCTCAGATACTTACCTGTTTCTAGCTGTGTGAGCCTGGGCAAGTCACTTAACCTCAATTGCCTCATCAAAAAAAAATATTCTAAGTCATTATTGATTAGAGAAAATGCAATTTGAAACAACTCTATGGTACCACCTCACACCAATCAGTTGACTAACATGACAGAAAGGGAAAATGACAAATGCTGGAAGGGGATGTGGAAAAATAGGGACACTTATACACTGTTGGTGGAATTGTGAATTGGTCCAACCATTTTGGAGAACAATTTGGAAGTATGCCCAAAAGGCACACTGTGCATACTCTTTGACCCAGCAATACCACTACAAGATACCTATCCCCAAGAGATCAGGAAAAAAAAAGGAAAAGGACCTGTA